CGCGGCACGGAGTAGCTAGTTCGGATTAGGCTTCCTAATCCGAACTAGCTGTACTCCTCATTCCACGACTATTTGATTATCTGATATGCAAACCTCTTCTGTCAATATTCATTTGAATGTTTAAATGAATCTCCTCCAGCTGTGTTTGTGTCCGTGTTGCAGTCATTGGAGTCAATGAATGTTTACCAAATCATGTGACAAGAGTGTTAACTGATCATAACCCTAACCCACCTTCGGTCATCAGGAAGATTAAGGCTATTTTCTCACCACTGACATTTATTAATGCTCCTTTTGTGTTATTTGTCTGTGTATACTCCGGATGATACTTTTCCTTTCAGGAAGCCGCATCTTCCCCTCAGTCTCCCCGAGTTTTGTTCAATAAAGAGAGTTTCTATTTTTGAACACACGTGTCCTTTATTTTGTACATCAGGAAGGGGGGTATAGGGAGGGGTAAGTGGAAGGAGGTGAGGGAGGAATGGGGTACGAGCTCCCAATGGGGAGGACTGGGGTGGCTCTGCGGGTTCCTCGGGGTGGAAGATCTCCTGCAGCCCCCCGATTGACCCGCCCTCCGGGTGGCAGCCTGCGGCAAGTGCAGTCGGGCTGATGGCCGAGTGCTGTGATGCGCCGAGTGTGGGCACTCAGGGCACTCCAAGCCAGGACTGCTTTGCAAGCGGGGAACCCCTGAGAACTGTCTGTCCGGGGTGGGGGTGGGGTCCCTTTAAGTACAGCCCTCGGCTAGCCTGAGGCAGCAGCTCCACACTCTAAATCCTAATCTGATGCCCTGCCGGCACTGCTTCCGGCCATCCTTAACCTCAGTTCAGGGTCCACTCAGTGCGGACATGCTAATTCGAATTAGCAAAACGCTAATTAGAACTAGTTTTTAAGTCTAGATGCGCTAATTCGAATTAGCTTAGTTCGAATTAACTAATTCGAACTAAGTTAGTTCGAATTAGTGCTGTAGTGTAGACATACCCATATTGCCCAGAGGCTTGGTGATCCTTTCAGTTCCCTGGTGATCAATGAAGTGATAGAAAAAATGGTGAAAATAGTTTGTCAAGCATGAGCAAATCTATTTAAACATCCCTCTGGATAAACTAGTTTCCAAAAAACTAATTACAATGAGTTGAGAGAGGAATGGTAGGAAATATGGAAAAAAGAAGCAAAAGGGGAAATATTCCATGAAATTTCCCTGGGAGATGAAATTACATGTATTCTGATGCACTGAGATAGTTCATGAAATGACTCTATTTAGATTAACAACTGGCTATTGTGGCTTAAATAGGAATTTGTTTCTAACAAAACAAACATAAAGATGCATTATGCAGAATGTGCAAGGTTCAAAGAAATAGTTGATCATATCCTTTGGGAGTGCACAAGAGTATACCATAAAAAAGAAGTATTTATGTGAAGAACTTAGAGGCCTTAAAGTATCCCCATTTTCAATTAAAACCTTAGTAAAATCAGGAAAATTGAGCCCCATAAAAAAGTAGTAATGCACTTCCTTAAAAATGCCAAGAAAGGTGAAAATTTTTGAATTTTTCAATGGTGTCCAGTGCTTTATGGTCACAGAGTCAGCAAGTGAGTCTTCTTTTTGCCATAAAAAAAGGAAGAAACAGTGCTTTGGTCACACTCTTGATCTAGAGAGACTAGAAGGTTCAAGGAGGAAACGTAGCACGAGTATTTGCTTGAGCAATAAAGCCTGGTAAAAGGCCAGAAGAAATATAAAGCACCCACATGATGGGGGATCCCTAATAACAGGGCAGGTTCTGGACTGCCCAGCAGAGAATTCTGGGAGTTTATTGATTGAGACATGGAGATGGATGGAAGTCTATTTAACTGGAGATGGTAAGAAGCTGAAAGCTAAATTTGGTGCACGAGGGAATCATTATAATTATTAGGGCCAGTCTTCCATCTTCACAAAGTGAACCTAAAGTGGCCAGAGACTGCTATTGGAGAGTTCCCCCATTTATGAGGAATCTCACCTAGATGAAGCTTTAGGTGCCATAAACCTCAAGTGCTTTTAACCCCAGCCCTTGGTATAAAGGAGCTAGGTTTGGAAGACGAAGGGAAAGGAAGAAGCATGGCAGAGCACAAGTCCATTGTAATTGATTCTTCGCTGTTGTAAAGTTTCTGAGGGACCTAACACCAGTAGCATAATTTGAACTGCCCCACTTCCCCGCTGATATAAGTTGCTCCAGAAATGGGCAGCTGAGAATCAAAGAGCTTTGATTGACTGGGGTACATGGAGAATCGAGCCTTTCACAGGCCCCTCCAGTCTTATTTTACATCCATCTATTAATTGTGTTTCATGCCACAACTGTAAAGATTTACATCTACTTATTAGTATATTTGAACATTTAAATTACTGTGGAATCAGGTCCTCCATGGATCTGGAAGACCTATACGTATAAGATATTACCTCAGTTTTCATTTAAAACAAACAAAACAATTTGTTCTTTTTGTAAAATGTGCAAATGAATAATCATGTTCCATTTGTTCCAGTATTATTTGTCCTAAAGCATTCTCTTATTAGCTCTTAACCAACACCTGTTATAGCAACCTATGGCTATAGAACCCCCACACTAAGGTGAAGGTGCAACCAAGGTTGCTACTGATGGTGTGTAGGAATGTTGCAAGCTTCCACCTACCTGAACTGATGCCTGCACTGAGCAGTTACTGTAGCTTTTGTCCACAAGGAGTATTGCTTACTATTTTCTTAAGTATACAGTGTTGTCTTCGGGCCCCAGGCATAGATCAGTCTCATTGTGCTAGGCATAATAGCTTACAATCATAATAGCTTACAATCCTAACAGTAGGATGAAAATAAACCATCAAATAGAAGTGAAAAAGTAGAAGAGGAAACAGTAAAATGAGCAAGCTTTACTTAAAGTGAGAAGGAATGTCACCCGGTGAATTACGCATGGAACTATTAATCTGGGATTCTACCTTCTGATCCTGGTTCTGATATTAACCCCCTCTTTGATCTTGATGAAACTCCTAAGATCTGAATCTTCCAACCTTGCTCAAACTGAATAGATTCTTATTTGGGGAGTAGCCCCATTCAAGCCAAATAGCTGCAGGCAAAGTAGGCTGGGCTCCAATTCTCTTCCAGTAGGGGTAGGGAGTTGGTTAAAAAATTACCTCTGAAAATATTAAATAAACCAGTTAAATTATGCTAAAATATCTCCCCATAATATTAAAACAAGCCCTTCCCATAATATGAGAATGACAATAAGAAGATATCAGTGATATTTTATTGGATGACATGAAAAATGGCTTCATATATTGACACAAAAATGCAAAATATGTGTCTCAATTTTTTTAAAAAGTGTTAATTTTTGTGTCATATAGGTTGCTTGCCCATATGAATGTATGCTTAACTATATTTTCCCTGTATGGTAGGGACACTCATTCTTTAACATTTAGGAGGTACAAGCTGAAAAGCTTATTGAGAGCAAGGACAAAAAAGATGGCTGTTGCATAAATGAGAAAGAATTCAAATGCCTAAACAAATCTGAAAAGCCTTGAGAAGTTGAATACACAAGTTAGACTAGCCCTGCACGGTTCTAACTTTTGTATTTAGCATTTACACAGTCAATAACCTAAACTGTCATTGACCTTGGTAGCAAAATGGGGCAATATTTTCACTTGGGTGAACTGTTATTGGATAATTTCTCCAGTGTATTAAGCACAGCATTCATTCCATCAACATCGAGTATGCATGTTATCTTTTACCATCTATTTCTTTTTCTGTTGTGCAAACATTTTTATTGTGCTCAGTAGAAGGACAAAATCTACTCTTTGTGAGCTAATGTAATCCTTGGTCTAACACCAATGAAATCACCTTACTCCACTTCATTTGGTTCCTTGTCTTGAAATAGGAGTGCCTCATATAACTTATCAAGGCAGTAATGCAGCAGAGCATATTAATCCAAATGTAAGAATTTTTGTGATTTTTTTACTATTTTACTTTACTTTTTAAATTGTGGAAACTCACCTTCAGCTCTTAGCTTTTGGACGTGATCACAATGAAATACAGTTAAAATACAATTTGTAAATTAACTCATGCTGTTGTCAGTTGATGGCATCAAAGAAGAATCCCCACATTTATGACACTCGTTGTGCTGCAAAGCAAAACAGAAATTTATAGAAAGTTTTCCCACCTTTTTGCTTGGACATTTCTTAAAGAAAACAGCATGTGTCCCAATAATCTAACTTATGCACAAGCTTCAATAAACAGAATTAGTATAATGTCCTAAAATCTAACAGTCTGAGGTCACATAAAGAATCAAGATTCTCTCCCTGGTTCCCATTTTGCTGCAGGCAGAAATACTTGGAACTAAAACTTTAGCATACATAAATTACTAATTCCTAGATGCTGTTCTAGTTGAATTTGCTGGTGTTTGAGGTGGAGAGAAAAACTTTCCCTGATCTTGTGTGTCTACTCCCCAATTACTTAACTAGGGGAAGGATTAGAGGAAAGCTCATAAGCATGAAGGGAAGCCAATGTTGCTGCGTAGAAGGAATGCAGAGGGAGGAATGATACAAATCTTGACTAAATATAAAAGTGCCCCAGATTAAAAGTATTTTGAATATATTGATTCACTGCAATCTTATGTGTGGACACTCCCATATTGATTATAACTGGTTATGTCAGTGATGGGCAATCACAATTAGTAGGTGGTATGTATGAGTATATCTCATTCATCTCAGTGGGCGGCCTGTGGCTCACACGCTCCCCCTCTCTGCCTCCTTCTGCCGCACTCCTCTCATGCACTGAGGCAATAGTGCCCTGAACTTGCTTCTCCCCCACCCTCCCAGAACTTTCAGAGAACCATGAATTTGCTCACACTTCATCCTTGCTACTACATCTCCCTCCCAGAGCTCAAATGTCACAAACAGTTGATTTGTAGTATTTGTAGCTCTGGGAGGGAGTGGGAAGAGTGGGATGGAGTGCAAATCAGGTGATTTATCCTGAAAGTGCTGGGAGAGTAAGGGAGAAACAAGGAAGTGCTGGGCTCCAGTGCCCCAGTGCGTAAGAGTCATGAGAGGTAGAGGAATAGACAGGGGGTCCACAGGCTGCAGGTGGAACCCCAGTGGGCCACAACAGATTGCCCACCAGTGGGTTATGTTTTTTTAGCTGGTATCTGTATCTTAATTGATACAGATCTAAACTTAATCTAAACTGAAAATGAAGCCACTAATACTATAGTTTCTTTATATAAAACTGCATGTTTAACTAACAGACGAAAGTACTTAAAAATGTCCATATTGGGTCAGACCAAAGGTCCATCTAGCCCAGTATCCCGCTGTCTGCCAATGGCCAATGCGAGATGCTCCAGAAGGAGTGAACACAAAAGGGAATCATCAAATGATCCCTCTCTCATCATTCATTTCCAGCCTCTGACAAACAGAGGCTAGAAACACTATTCCTACCCATCCTGGTTAACAGCCATTGATAGACCTAACCTCCATGAATTTATCTAGTTCTTTTTTCTACCTTGTTAAAGTCCTGGTCTTCACAACATACTCTGGCAAGGAGTTAACACAGAAGATTGACTGTGCTCTCTCTGAGTGAAGAAAAACTTCCTTGTGTTGTAACATCAGATATTTAGTTTAAACAGTACAAATAAGTGAAGACCCTGATATAGGGAAGTAAGAAAAACATAAGAGAGAGATGAATACAAAGGACAGAAATAGCAGTGTTTCAAAAATGAGAATATTTCTCTACTGTGTGATAATTAATGTGACATTGAGGCCATGGATAAATAACAATTGGTTACTACATTAATGCCATAGTTTACCCTGCTCTATCTACAACCTTCCTATTGGCATCAGTGGGGGTTCCTCTGGTATTATGTTGTCATACATTTATATATGCCAGCTCTAGATAGGGCCTTGAGCCAAGGTCTTACCAATGTCAGAATTATTTTTTGATATACAAATTGAGAAAAATCAGTCTCCTTTTCTGGAGCCTTTTCACCTTAAGCTCAAAAGCAATCTTCACTGCTTTTAAAACAAACAAACAAACAATACCCCTGCTTCTTGGAATTTTAACCTTTTCAAAATTCTAACCTGTGCATGTCACAATGGAGGTGTAGTTGAAAGGAAAAGTTGAAATAGAACTACTTCCATCAATAGGTCTTGAACTCAACATTACCTGCTTTGTCACACAAGAAAGTTATGTCAGGGAGCGTGCAGGCTTCAAGAGAAAACAGAAGAAACTAAAGAAACAGACATCACTAAAGAGAGGTTAAAATTCACACAATCATAAAACAGTCTCATGACTTGTTTCTCTGGCTAAATATAAATACCTTGTTCACAGTGAAATGGTCCCATTCTGAAGATCAGCCATATGAACATATTTAGGTATACTTAAGCACAATTATGTTATGTACTTTTTTGTTTTCTATGCTGGATAAATACATACTTCTTAATAGAATTCAATGTATAGAGAAAAGAAGAAAAGACAGAAAACGATGCAATCTTGTATATATCTATTTGCCACAGGAATAAGAGGGTAGAACAATGATTCTGAGGGTATGTCTACACTACCCTCCTAGTTCGAACTAGGAGGGTAGTGTAGACATACCCTTAGTTACATATTTTCCAGCCTAAAATAATAAACAAAATGGAACAAAATGAAGAAAAAAGGTAGTGTAATAGAATTCTATATTAATATTACTTTACCGCCTTTCTACCATGCTACGCTTGAAGTTTAATAAAGACAAATGGCAAAAGACCGCCTTGGCTTAACCACGAGATCTTGCATGATCTAAAAATAAAAAGGAGTCATATAAAAAATGGAAAGTAGGACAAATTACAAAGGATAAATACAGGCAAACAACACAGGAATGCAGGGCAAGATCAGAAAGGCAAAGGCACAAAATGAGCTTAAACTAGCTACGGGAATAAAGGAAAACAAGGGGTATGTCTACACTACCCCGCTAGTTCGAACTAGCGGGGTAGTGTAGACATATCCTGAGATTCCCCAGATTGTGTATTTTGGGAAACATTGTTTAGAAATGGTATTTCTTATAACATAGCTTCATGGTGAAATAAAAACACTTACATTACAATGATCACATTGTTCTAATACTGGAAGTTACCTCACAGCAGTATTCCTTTGTTTCGTAAGGCAGGTGGAGTCTCTCTGATCTCTCTTAGTCAATTCTTCACCTCTCTTGCTTTTCCCCTTCTCTCCATTTAATGACTTGCTTGTCTCTCCTTGTCACTTACCAGGCTCATGATAGGCTAGCCGTGTAATAGTCACAAGACTTCTGGATGAGTTGCATAGCAACAACACCCTTAAGGAAGGCACACTCACTCCCAGACCTACTCCATCCACACACAGGGTGAATAATTGGCACTGCTCTTTTGGACAACATATATTACTCCTCCCCTCAATGCACCTGCCCTGTTCAACAGAACAGTGAGAAAGATGAGAATAGTCCCACTGACCTTACTCCTTGTTACCCATCCCCATCTATAACTGAACTCTTTGAGCAATAGATGTGTGTGCAGGAAGTTTTCTTATACTTTTTTGTGGCATGGGAAAGGGCTACTTATAATAATATTCTTGATGAGCAGCAAACAGTATCTCTGGATATGTCTACACTACCCTCCTAGTTCGAACTAGGAGGGTAGTGTAGACATATCCAGAGATACTGTTTGCTGCTCATCAAGAATATTATTATAAGTAGCCCTTTCCCATGCCACAAAAAAGTATAAGAAAACTTCCTGCACACACATAATCACAATGGTCAACCATATTTTGATACTATGTTCACATATAAGTCATAAGAACATCAGAACATAAGAACGGCTGTACTGGGTCAGACCAAAGGTCCATCTAGCCCAGTATCCTGTCTGCCGACAGTGGCCAGCACCAGGTGCCCCAGAGAGGGTGGACCGAAGACAATGATCAAGCAATTTGTCTCCTGCCATCCCTCTCCAGCCTCTGACAAACAGAGGCCAAGGACACCATTTTATCCCCTGGTTAATAGCCTTTTATGGACCTAACCTCCATGAAATTATCTAACTTCTCTTTAAAAAGAGAAGTCTCTCTCTTCATTGTTGCCTTATAACCTTCTCTTGTGCTTTGAGATATTTTTCTTTTTTCTAACTAATTTTCCTAACCCCAGATACTTCTTCCATGTTCATTGCCAAATGGGTTTCATGTCTGCTCCCAAACACAGGTAAAACATGTTACTCCCCCCCACACCCTATCTACATTATTGATCCTTTTTCTCTACAGTACTAGCTCACTAACCCTGAACTGTTGAGTGCTTTCTCCACTTCTAGTTTTCTCTTCATTGACCTTGATTTTCCCTTCTATTTTCTCTGATACAGTTTGTGTTTTTGTGGTTTTTATTGCATGCCATATCTCTTTTCTTATGTTCTAAATCCAATATTCACTGATCATATTACTGGCAGGAGATGCCTGCTGTTATTAGTAGTGCAGGGCAAAATTTTTCATCTGAAACATTTTCTAGCAAAAAAGGCAGAGTTGACAACACTGAAAACATTTTGCAAATTCATTTTGCTTTGGCTGAAGCAAAAAGAATTCTAAAAGAATCAAAATGACACTTTTTGAAACAGTCAATACAAATCATTTTTATATTCTTGGTTTTAAATTAGTGCACTTCAAAAATCCCTTTTAATTTTATTGAACAAGCAACTATACTTTTAACAAGCAAAAACCAAAACAAAACTTTCTCTTTTTGATTTACATGCATTTTTCAAAATAGTTTTGTTTCACGTTGTCATGGGGTGGGTGGCCTGTCCGTGCTATGAGACCAGGCGAAGTGGCTCACCCCCATTATGACTCTGGCTCAAGCCTCTATCATCCGGGAGTTAAGGCGGCCTACTTGTAGTGCCCTCAATAGGTACAGCCAAAATGTCCTAGACTCTAGTACCTCAGGGTATGTCTACACTACCCCCCTAGTTCGAACTAGGGGGGTAGTGTAGACATACCCTCAGTCTGTGGAGCAGTAAGGCCAAATCTATCTCACCCTGGTCGACAGGTAGTAAGGCCCAGTGGCCAAGTTTATAACGATTGGTTTGCCTCCCCAGTGGGGATCAAAGGAGGTGGGAGGGTAGAGGGGCCTGGACCCTCTCTCTCTAATGGGCCCTACCCCGGGGCATTGTCAGTTTTAGGTGTTTCCCACCACTGGCTCAGCGGTAAATCTGCCTGAAACACGCTGAGCTCATGAGGAGGTCTCCAGCTCCCTGCTCTGGGCTTCTTACTACTCTGACCCACCAGCCAGTGTATTACTTCCCTACGTCCTCCTGCTTACAAGCTCTCCTGGTCATCCGCTTGCTATGGTCACTGTGGCTGCAGCAGGGGTGGTTGTTATTGCTGTTGCAGCAGTGGCTGCTGTTGCTGTGGCTGTGGCTGTGGTGGCTGTGGCTATGGCTGCAGTGGTGGCAGCTGCTGGGCCAATGGGGGCAGCTGCTTCTGAGTTCTGGCAGGACCTCCTTTTCCTCTCCTGTGGTCAGGCCCAACTGGTCTGCTCCTCTGGCTTTTATGCTGGGCCTGCAGTTGGAGCATGCCCATCAGGGCTGTGAGGGAGAGGCCTTCTCAGACCAGCAGGCCTGGTTAATCCCTCCCAAGGCAGTGTGGGGTCGGTTCACCCCGTCACAGACCTCAAACATTTTTTAAATTTTTTTAGTAATTGTCCATTTAAAAATCCATTATTCAAAAGGCTCTAGTACTAGTGTCACCAGTTCATAAAAGAATGGTTACAGAAGAGAACATGATTTCCTCTTATATTCCACACAGGAGATTGTTCAGTTTTCTGCTTTAAGAAATTTAACAAAATAATATGTTGTGATTTTCTTGGGGTCAGATTTTCAAGTGTTTCTCAGTGATAGCACACAAATACCACGGGAAATCATTTCACTCAACAGAGCATAAAGCCAATGGGACTAGAAATTTCCCCGATTATTTAAAATATCTCATTGAAACATATTTAAATATCCTTCATCACAAATGGGAGTTGCCTGAAAGTGTAGCTTTTTCTGAAAAGTTACTGCATAAATAGAATTGTTAAATTCTATGTTAAAAGGTATATAAGGTATATATCCTGGGAATTGCACTGAAGAAATTGAAACTAACTTTAGCTTTTCTGCAAAAGTACCTCTCTTTCATTGCTGGTTGTTCCAATGCTGTCCATTAAAGCCATATGTACCTTAATCAAAAAGTCTGTAAAGCAGCAGCTCATGCACAGATCTTTCCGATTCTAAACATATTGGCTATGTCTAGACTGGCATGATTTTCCGGAAATGTTTTTAATGGAAAAGTTTTCTGTTAAAAGCATTTTCGGAAAAGAGCATATAGATTGACACGGACGCTTTTCCACAAAAGCACTTTTTGCAGAAAAGCGTCCGTGCCAATCTAGACGCGCTTTTGCGTGTCTAGACTGGCAAGTTTTTCTGCAAAATCATCTGCTTTTGCGGAAAAACTTGCCAGCTGTCTACACTGGCCGCTTGAATTTCCGCAAGAACACTGACGATCTCATGTAAGATCGTCAGTGTTCTTGCGGAAATTCAAGCGGCCAGTGTAGACAGCTGGCAAGTTTTTCCGCAAAAGCAGATGATTTTGCAGAAAAACTTGCCAGTCTAGACATAGCCATTAGGGGTAAGGATTTTATGACCTCTGAATATACACTATTGCACACTGCCTGCCCCAAATAATTCTTGATTCCTTATTTGGTCCTTTAAAGTGCTATAAAAAACAAATAATACATGCCAGTCTTTTAAGAGCTACTCAGTAATCATGGTGAATGAGATATAGGATTGAGGTGAATATGCATTTATACTTTTATTTTCTGAGAATGATTTAAGATTTTTATACCTAGCACTAAGATATAAGATCATATATTTGAAGTCTACTTACGCATATTTGACAGTGTTCAGAAAGGAATACACACCAGTCAAAAACACTGCTGCATAGCTAACCGTTATTCATAAATAAAGGTCTAAAACACTTCAGTGATTCCTAAAGTAACATATTCTAGTTAAACTATTGTAGCTGCTGATAGATTGAAGAAGTGTCCTCCAGAATGGTTTTGAACGCACCATAGCAACAACAGATGAGTGAATGACTGTCTCTCCCTTACACCTTTCTTCCCACAAAAATGGATTTCATCTATATTACTTTCAATGAAGATAGTAAAGTTATTACCATAGGACTCTGTCACAGGGTCAATATTGCCCGTTTTGAAATATGTATCTCAAGGTCACTATGTCAGTTATTCCTCATAACCTGCTGTGTATGCATAAGACTTTTTATTACAATAAATTTATAATTTGTAGGATAACAACAATTTCATGATATTCTGAAATTAGTTTCTGTAAACAATACCAAAGGCTACAATCACTTTATAGACATGTAGATGAACTTACACGGACTCAGGGTTTCTTTGCATCACTAAATATTGCAGCATTACTAATAAGAAATGCTTCTAAACAAACTTCCAGTGTACATATGATATTAGCAAAGAAAGCAACATTTTAAGTATCTTCATTGATCCAAGCAAAGGATGGCATGTTAAAAAATATTTTCCCAGAGCAACAATATCATTTTCCTTTTCTATTTCTTTTGCAATATAGAAAATATGTAATCAAAAATAATTAGAACTACAGTTTCAAAGTATCTGTGAAGATTTCCTGGAAAGTAAAATGCAGAAGTAAATTACATTAGGACAAATTCTCAGATGTCTTTTCTATTTTTATGATCATTGCCTCATTTATAACCTTCTCCTTTCTTTCTATTCTTTCATTTTGTGTGCTGTCATGAGAGGGCTAAAGGATACTACAGAGCTATCTCTCCCTTACGCCTTGAATAGGTTTCTGTCCACTGTGGGTTAGGGCTATTGTGTTCTTTATTTTCCCTTCTGTGTGTGTGCGTATATATACATATATACATATTAGAAAGTCCTAGGTAATATCTAGCAAAGCAGTATTATCATAAATGTTTTGATGGGAATTACTAAAACAGAGTGCTGTCTCAAACTGCCTAATATGCAAAGGCTTCTAAATGATTTAAAGCAATGTCCATGTGAAGATCATGCTGCATAATCATAGCCAGGGTGATGGAGAGGCAATCTCAGGAGGAACTCCAGGAACTAATGTGGAGGGTTGGGCCTTAGTATGTCACTCTGAAGGAGGATGAAACATGTGGTTTCTTCATGCCACCAGGCTACCTTGCCACTCACA